TATGGCACCGTTAGAAGCTCCTCAGACTCCCTGGCCAGGACCGTAGCCCACATGCCTACAGTCCTACTGCCGCCTTGTTGCTGTAGTTAGCTGCTGTTGAGTCGATTCCCACTCACGGTGACCTCATGTGTGCAGACTAGAACTGCTCCGTAAGGCTTCCAAGGCTGTGACCCTTTGGAAGGAGATCGCCAGGCCTATCTTCCAAGGTGCCTCTGGGTGGATAAGAACTGTCAACCTTTCAGCTAGCAGTAGAGAGCTTAACTGTCTCCGGTACCCAGAGACTCCTTACTGCTGCCTAGTACCCTCTAAGGCTAGCTGGGGTTCCCCTAAGATGCTTTCCTGACTCATCCCCCAACACGTAGGCAGAGCTGCTCACTCCCTCTTCTGTCCAACCTACAGGTCACCTTAGTAAAATCATATTGCAATTTTTACTTGAACAACTGTTTCTACTAGAATGTGAGCTTCCTGTAAGAAGAAACGCGTCTCGGTCATTTTGCTAATCCTAGTAATTAGGATAAAATAGGCCTTTGTGGCACATTTTATAATTTTTGCCTACTATCTGCTTCTCTATAAAAAGATTATACTTCTCTGACCCTGACATCTGGTGGCTCAGTGGTTAAGCACTCTGCTGCTAACTAAAAGGTTGGCAGTTCCAATCTACCAGCTACTCCTTGGAAACAGTTTTACTCTGTCCAATAGGGGCAGTTTTACTCTGTCCTGTGGGGTCACTATGAGTCAGAATCCACTCAATTGCAATGGGGTTGGGTTGGGTTTGGCTCCTGACATCAGACTTGACCTTGTGACTTGCTTGGGGAATGCATGTGAGTGAAAGCAAAGATGTGATTTCTAAGCCTGGCAGGGCTCCACCACCTCTCCTGTCCTTTTCCCTCTGCCATGAGAGCAACAGGTTCCCAAAAGGGGCTCTCCTTCAATCTCGGTTCTGCCAAGCTGTTTTTCCAAAGAACCAAGGAAAAGGCCACATGAAGGACCTCATTTCACCACAGACAGAGAAAACATTAAGGCTGACTGTCTCAGGACTAAAAAGGCAACATGTCTACAGATGGGCATTTTAAAACAGTATCAGTTCAACTGTGTGATTTAAAATATCTGGAAGATAAGAGCAATTTCCTAGGAGAATACAAATTGTCTAAAATAGACTCAAAAAATGGCGAAGAAAAAATACATATATTATTAACCAAAGAAGAAAATGAAAAGACAATCGAAGATTCACTCTCGAAAAGGCACCAGCCTCAGACAATCTTATCTGGCAGTTTTAGCAAAGTTTCGGGGAATAGGTAATGCCTGTATTAAATATTAAGTGTCCCAAAGCATTAAGTAGAGGGTCAGCAAAAAACAGGAAGACCCTCAACAAGATGGACTGATGCCATGGCTGCAACAATGGGCTCAAGCATACAACGATTATGAGGATGACGCAGGACTGGACAGTGTTTTGTTCAGTTGTACGTAGGGTCGCTATGGGGCAGAACTGACTTGATGGCCCCTAATAACAATAACAAAGCATTAAAAAAATAATAAGAACAAAGAAACGGTTCCGAAGTCATTCACCATGGGCACGAAAAGCAAACAAGAGCGCCATAGAAAAAGAAAATGAGAGGTCAATTCCACTTTTAAACAAAGATGCAAAAGTCCTAAATAAAACACTAGTAAACTGAATGCAGATGTACCTTAAAAAATTATAGTATATCATGACCAAGCATATATTATTCCAAAAACAACAGGACAGTTTGATAACGTCAGAAAATCCACTATGGGAGTGATGTAGGAGTTAAAATTGGAGCCATTATAAAATCTACAAGATACTGCAAAACCTCAACAGTAAAAAGACAAACAACCCAACTTAAAAATAGGTAAAGGAATTGGCATAACAGTTTATAAAGACAGTGTTCTACATTCTACCTTGGTGAGTAGCATCTGGGTTCT